GTAAGATTATGGTATTATCATTTTTTGACCAACGCTGATGATGACAATATTATAATAAATTTAAGGTTGAAGTTTAAATCTCTGATAAATTTTACACCAACGTGGTCAATTTTTCAGAGAGTAGATAAGGACCGAGAAATGCTCTTGAACTAAAAGAATATATTTTATTAAGTTTTCGCCTCAATGATGTTGATTATCTTTCAATTAAATTCGAATCAACGAGAGAATTTAATTTTGAAGAGTAGATATATGGATTTCAAGTTAATTTATGAGTTTCATGCATTAATTCTATTTTCTGCCCAACGGTGATGTAGAATTGATGCAGAAGCATGTTGTATGTTTTATATTAACTGATGAGATCGCTTGGCTGCATGCCAACGGGCTGCAATGCTGGGGGTATGTGAATGGAAAGGCTTGAGTCAAGTCAGTTCTGGACAGTTTTTTGTTAGTTTACTAATTTTCTGATTAAATTACAACCAACGGGAAGATTTAATTGAAAAATGAAGTATAAGTGAAGTTTTAGTCGTCATGACTAAGTTTTCGTATAGACGTATCCCGCATGGGGAGAAGTTTTGGCATAGTACTTATACTAGTCAATCCTGCATGGCATGAGAAGTTTTCTGATGATTCACATGTTTTTGTATCCCACATAGCGAGAGAAGTTTGGGTAGCTCTAATACTGTCCTAGTATTGACCTTGGCACAATAGAAATGCATCATCATGGTCAATACTAACCAAAAGATAAAAAAGATACAAGTGTGACTTGCAAAAGCACTGCTAATGAAAGACCTCGTTGAGTTCTCAAAGTGAAATAAGGAAAGTGTACTTCTAAACGGATCAAGAAATAACTTTGTTTACATGACACAATCATGTGAATGAAGTAAGTTATAAGTGTCTCTTCGTTTATAGGCTTTCTGAATAGTTATCGAAATTATGGCAGTAAAGTTCAAGCCATATTTTGAGAGAGAGAATATTAAGATCAATTAAGAAAAGATACTCTTCATTAAGAGTGAGATAAACATTAATTAAGATAAAACCGTTGGAATAGTACAACGGTTATAACAATGATACCCCTAAGCAGAGAAATTGCTAAATTTCTGGACCTTTTAAAGTTCCGACAGGAAAATAGCGTAGTCAGTCTCAAAGATGTTAAGGTGGTGCTAAAAGCGCCATATGAGAGTTTAATGGATTAAACCCAAAATAAGATATTTAAAGATACACTATCTTTAGAAAAGATGGAAAGATCTGGGGGAGCATAGTATGTAGAGGTATGTAGAGACCTAAAACTTGAAGAGAAGCGGAACTGCGTGCCCACTTTAGTGATTCAAACAATGAATTTCTCAATACCTATTGATGTTGTATGACCAATACAACACCTGTTGTTAGCTCTTCGAAGAAGATGAATAATAAGGATCTTGTTATACAGGAGCATGTAGAATCAATTGTCTCTTGGCAATGAAGAGCAACAACAGCCCCATATGAAAGTGCCAGTAGCTGAGGCCCTAGAAGGTCTCAAAGAATTAGTAAACCAGTTTTCTGATGACTATAAAGTTTATGTTAGTAAAGAAATTCAAATAGAGGGTGATCCCACCTCATTTGAAGAAGCCATGAGAAATGTTTACTCGTTTAAATGGCAAGAAGCTATGGAAGCTGAAATGAATTCGATGAATACCAACGATGTTTGGGACTTAAAAGTAATTCCTAATGGTGGCAAAATAGTAGGCTGTTAATGGGTCTATAAGACAAAATGTGACTCCAAAGAAAATGTAGAAAGGTATAAAGCACGACTTGTGACAATATGCTTTAAGCAAAAAGAATGAAAAGATTACAATGAGAGTTTTCTCTCCAGTCTTATGTAAGGATTTTTTTAGAATCATAATGGTGTTTAATGGCACATTACGATTTAGAGTTACATCAGATGTATGTAAAGACGGCATTCCTCAACGGAGATTTATATGAAAACGATTATATGGCACAACCCAAAAGGTTTCGTCATGGAAGAAAAGAACATATGGGATGCTGCCTGTGGAAATCGATTTATGGGTTAAAAGTAAGTCTCAAGACAGTAGGATTTGAAGTTGATGAAACAATGAGAAAGTTTGGGTTTTAAGAAAAATGAGAAGGACAATAGCGTTTATATGAAGTTCAAGAATGGAAAATTATTTTTCCACATCCTGTGAATAGATAACGTTCTACTCACTAGTAGTGATATTAATCTGTCATTGGAGAAGAAGAAGTTTTGTCCTCAAGTTTCAATGTGAATGATCTTGGTGAAGCGTTGTTGGTTCTATGAATCAAAATTCACCGAGATAGAAGAAAATAGGGTATTAGGACTATCACAAATGCATACTTGAAAAAGATTTTAGAGAAATAAAGTATGCATATGAGTAAACCTACGCCTACTCCTATAGTCAAGGGTAATAGATTTAGGAATTTTAAGTGTTCTTAGAGCCGATATGAGATCGATCAAAAGAATATGGTTCCATATGCTTCAGTTGTTGGAAGTTTGATGAGTGTACAAGTACAAGTAAGAACTTACCCTGACATAGTTTATGTATCTGGGATATTTTGGCAGAAGTCCAGTCCAAATATAGATTATTGGAATAGAGTTGAAAATGTCTTGCAATTTTGCAAAGTATCATAGGACTTATGCCGAGTAAGAAAGAATAAGTACTCTCAAATAGTTAAGGGTACAAAAGGTTAAATCTTGGCGAGATGTGTAGTGAAATTCACAACAGTTGCTAACACTCGCAGTTGGAGTATTTTGTGAAAAAGCTCTAAAGAAATAGTTATGGTATCATCAGTGATGCATACCATAGTATAGTTTGTCATGAGGCTTAAGGAACAGGCAAAATGAGGTTAAGGGAATTAGTATCCGGATTTAATAATGGTAGACAACAGCAATAACCATTTAATACAAGTTAACTCCTAAGACAACAAGTCAAGTGTGCTACCAAACATATTGACACTAAGGTATATGTTGTAAAGGAGAAAATCTAGAATCATGTTGAAAGCATTGAGCACATAAGTACCGAGTGAGTACTTGCGGATCCGCTTACCAAAGGCTAACCACCCAGTGCGTTTAGAGAACACACAGTCGACATGGGTTTATGGGAAAGCCTATGATTTCTAGATACTAAGGGCCTATTTGAGTATTTGTTTTAAAACAGAGAGGTGCGTTGTAGCTGTTTAATCTAATGGCAACTGACCGTGATGATGAGACACGCTCTATGCACTGATCTGTGATGGAATAGAAATAAGATAAAGTAAGTTAAGTTTAAGAAATAAGACGAGATCAAGGGGGAGAATGTTAGTTTGATCTTCACCGGCCAATTGGGCCATTGGATCAGTGCCCTGATCGGGGGTGCCCAACCGCTCCATGGTTGGTGGGTCTCCGTCGCACAGCACCATAAAGGGAGGTGGGGGCTAGGGCTCTATCTACGAGGTTGACTTGAGCCACCGTAACCCACCAACAGAGAAATCCTAACCCGATCTAAAGAGAACGTGCTGCCAACGACGGGAAGCCGCCACCGACTTCACCGTCGCTTCTGCATCGCCATCGTTGCGCCAGACTTCACCGCTCTCATAGCATCACCGACATCGCCATGGACGGCTCTAGCTCCACCGCCAAACCCTCTGATGCTCGGTGACGTCTCACCTCTCACCCTTCCCTCTCTGTCTCTCTCTACTGAAGCATGCTCTAGGTCTAATTGATTTAATCAGAAATGAACACACCCTCTGATCTGCACCTAGATGGATACTAAACTTCTAACAGTTCATATACCCTTGCATTACGTACTACTTGTACGTCTATCTACTACACGTAGAGATAATTAGATCAAACATCAACCCTACTTGATGGTTAGGGTTCTTTCATACCTTAAATAGGATGCCAATTTTATCTACCTCACATGCCGCGTAGGATAGTGGTTAGTAGATACATATCGCGTAGGGTGTTTGGCATTGTCGTAGATCTACCTGCTTGACGGCGACGCTACATGCCGATGTAGTGCAGATTAGCAGCAGGTAGAGGTAGCAGATCCATTCTGCTAACAACGTTGGGGAACGTCGACGTCGTCGAAGTAGTCACGGCAGGGACGTCGGCATGAGTGTCGACGTCGAAGATCGGCGGCAACTTCAACAGCGATGTCGACGTAGAGCTTGTCGTGCTGATAACGTGTTATAAAACATGTTGCCAGCGGTTATGACCTTCCTCTCTCCGTCTCTCATGATGAACACAGTAGGTAAAAGTATAAGAACAAATAGACATAAGATAGGGAGACTATTCTTTATTCCTCTAAATATTGGTGATTAAAACATAGAGCTCCCACGTATATATAGTCCTGCCAAAGCCTAAGAGTTTGATAAGAGCGCATATACAAACGGACTAGGATTATGATTCATCCTCCTTTCCTTTTAGGATAGAGTCCGTATGTTTTACAACAGTGACGTCCGCGTCGATCCAGTTTCATCACATGAGCCCATCTAGTGTAGAGTACTTTTTCCATCCATAAAAGAAAGCAATTCTCGCTCTTTGATCAAAATATTAATATTATTTGCTATAAACTTGATCAAATTTAAGATACTTTGACCGACACCGATTCTGTAATTGCATTTTTTCTGGAGAGAGGGAGCAGTTGGTTACGTGGAGCACTTACCTACAAACATGGAACCATCCATGGTCCATACAAATAGAATGGGACCAAAACACTTGTCGACAAAAGAAAAAAAAAAGGTCACCGGGCCGCCTTGCTTATATATAGAAAATACGTACTGTATATATGTATTTTTGCATATGTACACTAGTAGTCGCAGTAGTAGGGCCGTCGACGCACGCATGCGGCATGCGCGGCAGCGTCCAAAAATGGGAAGGAGGCGGCGCGGGGCCCGCGAGCCACATGTCTGCCACCTGCCCGCGGCCAGCGCCCACCTGGGCGCGCACGTGGGCGAACCCCCGCGCGGGCCCCGGCGAAAGAGATGGCCTTGTTTGGCCCGGCTCGCTAGGTGCAGGGAGCCGCCGCCGCTGCCTCCTGGGCCGGGCCGTGGGAGAGCCAGCGGGTGAAGGCGTCCAGCGTGCGGGTGTCGGCGCGGTAGTGGCGCTGCGTGAAGCGCATGAGGTCGGCCCAGGTGAAGTCCGGGTACTGCCGCGGCGTGGCGCTGCTGGCCGGCGGGCGCACCACCCGGTCCTCGCGCGGGCACAGGAAGAAGGCCAGCGACCGCCGCTCCTGCCGCTGGTTCACCACCGCGCGGTGCAGGCAGCTCTTGTACCGCCCGTTGGACAGCGCCTGCATGGCATGCGTACATACAGGGGTGGGTTAGTACAGTGCACAAGAATCATCGTGTCGGACGGACGGACAGACAGACAGACAGACGTGATCATTTTCCGGGTGCCCGCAACATATATACACTGAATTCTGAAAACAAGTCTTGTCGAAAGCACAGGAAGGATTGTCTATTGCGGGTGCGCCCGGCGGCGGGCCAGGTCGCGGAAACCGGGTGCATGCAAGTGCCTGGTACCCACATGGCCAAGGGGCCGAGCTGGAGCCCCGGTGTTGCAAAGCAGCCACCACCAGCGCCGGTGACCAGCAGGCAGCAGTAACCCAACCCAACCCAATTCCAACCAACCTTGTACCACTTTCTACTACTCCACGGCCCTCGCGCTCGTGCGGCGCATCGCATAGGACCGCGGAGCGGATCAGATGGGACGGGCACCGAGCGGACCCAGTCCACCACCGCTGGGCCTCGGTCGAAAAAACCCATTCTCCCGTTCCCGGACACCGAGAGGCGGCATCAAAAACAGGGGAAGGCGACGAGGCCGCGCGCACCTGGCACGGGGCCCCCGCCGAAAGCGTCGCACGGGCACCCATCGTATCGTATCGTATCGCGCCCGTCCCCGCCGCCGCGCAGGCCTCTCCGCAACGCTCCAACGGCACAAACCAACACGGAGCAGCTTGCTACTGCTACTGCTAGCCGACCCCGGTCCGTTCTGTTGTCGCATCGCAACTTTCCCGCGGAAGCCTGGGCCTGGCCGCCTGGGCGCGGATAGGGAGCGCGCGCCCCTCCCTACGAGCCGCGTCCGTGTAGACTGTAGCTGTAGCCCGCCGAGATGGAACCGACTGGAACGCATGTCGGTCTCTATTGCATCGCTATGTACTACATGCCTACGTGTGCGTGCTGTAATCTGTCCAGTTAGGTCCACTAGGATTCGGGAAAAAAACAGAGAAGTGAATGGATGAATGAATATACACAAGCACAGGTCAGGACAAAGAGCTAGGCCAAGAAAAACAGAGGAGCGAGCGAGCGAGCGCTTTCGTTCGTTACCATGAAGGTGTCGCCGATGTTGATGACCATGGCGCCTGGGACGGGCCGGACGGGGCGCCACTCGCCGTCCACCAGCACCTCCAGCCCGCCGACGTCGTCCTGCAGGAGGATGGTCAGCGCCGTGGGGTCGCAGTGCGGGCCCGTGCCCAGCGTGCGCTCCGGCTCCGGGCACGGCGGGTAGTAGTTGCACCGCATGATGGAGCGGCTGTCCTCGAAGAACTCCCGGTAGTAGCCGCGCTCCACGCCCAGGCTCAGCTCCAGCAGCTCCATGATCGTCAGCGACAGCTCCTTCATCTTCTCGCAGTACCTCTGGTACACCCGCCTGTGTGCATGGGATTGGGACGGGGGTTCATACGTATCATATCCCGAGCTGCCGACCGTATGCAATGCTAGCTAAGACCCAGGCCAGGCCCCATGGGCTGACGTGCGGTAAATGTAAAATCGGTGCTTCTTCTTACTCACTTACCCCATTGGCTCGAAATCTTGGCCGAGGGTGCCGGTGAAGTAGTCCACGACGACGGGCGACGCGGCGCCGTCGTGGAAGCCGAAGGACAGGGTCTCCTTCCAGGGGAGCTTGGACGCGAACCGGTCGGCGTGCGCGCTCGTGTACCCGGACACGGTGCCGGGGACGCGCCGGGCGCGCTGCTTCTCTGCCAGCGGCAGCCGGAAGAAGTCGCTGGCGCCGTCCAGCGCGGCGCGCCCCAGGGCCGCGTCCACGCCGTGCCCGCACACCTGGAAGAACCCGTGCGTCGCGCACGCCGCCGAAACCTGCGCCGCGGCGCGGCGCAGCCCCGCGCGGTCGCCATTGCGCAGCACGCCCACGTCCACCACCGGCACCTCCAGCTCCGCGGCCGAGGTCGGGCGCGCCTCCTCGTGCGTCCACAGGAATGGCGCCGGGATCTTGGGCTCCCGCCGCAGGTCGAACACGGCCGCGGCCTTGCTGGCCGCCGCGTCGGCCCTGTCCTTGCCAGCGGGGAGGTCAATGCTGGGACTGGGAGTGGGGGCGAGGAGGAGGAGCGATGGGGCCTGGCTGGCGTCCATGGACGCGGCTGCTCGCTTGGCGCTGCTGCTGCTAGGCAGACCTGGCTCTTGCCGTTCTTGGGACACCATGAGATGTGCGAGCTGCGAGTGTGCAGGGAAGCTGTCCGGGCGGGTGGGGGTATTTGTAACAGGGGAGGAGAGCGAGTTCACGAGCAACGACAAAGACGCAGCGAGGACCGAGCGTAGCTCGGTTGGCTTGCTCGCCAGGTGAGCCAGCGGCCGGGCGTGAGTTCGATCCTGGGATCTGACACTCGCGTGCCTCGGGGTTTTTTCTCTTTAATAAATTTGCGGGACCTACGTATGAGTAGTCTCTTTGTGTAGGTGTAGGTTTAGCTTACACACTAGAGTGGGTGGGTGTGCGTGAGTTTAGTTCAGATATTAATACCTGTGCACAAAGAGCTGAGCACAAAAAAAAAAAACGACAAAGACGCAGCCAGGGAGAGAACATTTGGAGGTGCGGCCTCATGTGGGACCCGCCACCCTGAATTAACATGTTTTTTTTCTCACAACACGTAATCAACCACGTAAATTATAAACCATAGACGCTTAGTACTCAGTTTCCAAAAAAAAGGCTATCTATCAACCGGTTGATTTAGCCCTTCCCATCAACCGATTTTCCCTTATACGTTGTATAGCCTGGAACAGTGTCCAGCCGCGCAGTTGTTGAGTACCTCCTGGCGTATCTTTGCTTCTGTCCTGTGTCCTGCTCCAACTGGTCGAGACCCGAGAGCCCGAGAGAGAGAGGGCTCGGGGCAGCTACACGCCAGAGCCTCTCTCGTGCGTGCCTTCGAGCAGGCAGACGCAGTAGAGCTAGCTAGGCATGTCATGTCGAGATAAACAAAAGCAAGCTAGGCAGAGACAAGTTACAGTTACGGAGTACGTATGAAATGACGGTGAGAAAATGGTCTCCGTACTGTACGTAACGCAGGTGTGTCTCATCCTCGTCTCTAGACGTACTACTTACCCTGCATGGGCAATGGGGTTTGAGCTATCAGTTCTGTTCTCAACTTCTGTTATTCCATTTGTAAATTTATAAGTTTATGAATAATTTGATGATATTTATGAACAATTTGATATATATTTCTCTGGTATTTGGAATCCATAGAAAAAGTTTGCAGTTTTTTTTTTGAAAAATTGGCATATACTTGTCTAAGGTCTTGTGTTATCCCCAAATTACACCACTCTGTCCAATAAATTACATTGAATAAATCATTGTAAATATAGTAATAAGCCGGTGTAAATATAGCTATAAGGTGGTGTAAGTGCATAAAAAATTCAGTTGATGGGAGGGGCTAAATTAACCAGTTAGTGGCTAGACATATCAAAAAAAAATGGACGCTTAGTACTCTGTTCTCTCGCAACACAACGGAGAGTTCAATTTCACACGCACTAATACTTTGATGAAACCTCTAGCTATGCATTTTCTACTTAAAAGATGACTTTTGGAGTTTTGGTTCTTTATCAATCTAGCAAGCTAGTACTATTATGGTTCGTGTCCAAAATTGGGTTTCCACTATTGCTACACTAACATGCTACAATCAAATGATGTGGGCAGCGTATCATATCATCAAACTATAGCCAGTGGAGGAACAACCATGCATAAACATGGCCATCATCATATCATTAGATATCTATTGGCCCAATGTTCCATTATGAATGGCTTCTCACTACGCACAAAGTCCATGTAGTACTTTCTTTATACCCCCTCTGTCCATAAAAGTATGTAATTCTCATTTTTCGAGGAGTCAAATTGTCGGTGTTTCGGACCGGGGGTCCTCAACCAACTAGTAAATGTGAACTGCGTGCCCCTAATCCCGGATGGTGATGCAAAGAGACACAAGGTTTATACTGGTTCAGGCGGTCGGTGCCCTACGTCCAGTCGAAGAGATCGATCTTGTATTCTTTGCACCGAAGTGCTTGTAGTAGGGGGTTACAAGGTGGGTGAGAGAGGGAGCTGGTCCCAAGTCCCGACGTGGAGTGGTGCGGGCTGCTTGAGACGTGGCTCTCAGGCAGCTTGGGAACGTGGTTCTATCGTATGGCCTTTTCCCCTTTTTTCTCCCTCCCCTAGCTATCCCTGGCTGCTTCCTTTTATAACCGCAAGGAAGGAGCCAGGAGTACATGGGTAAGCTACGCGTGGAGCCTACTGTAATTGAGTCCTGTAACCGCATGACGCTGGGAATGGAGATCGGTACTTGACCGGCGCGTCATGCTGGCCAGGTTTGAAGTCGTTGAGGTCGTGGGTGTCCTTGTCGATGTCTAGTCAGTATGGCCTCTATGGCCGGAGACATGCCATGCCTGGCGGGCTCTTGTCCTGGTGGAGTGCCGAGGCCTAGCGGGTGCTGGAACTGATCGTGCCGAGGCCTGCTTTGCCGAGGCCTGTTTCGCCGAGGCCTGCTTTGCCGAGGCCTTGGAGGTGACCCGTGTGTGGCGCGGGGGTCTCGGTGATCCGTGTTGTACTTGGTTCGGGTAAAAAGAGTGCGGAGTGGGTGTCCGCAGGGTACGGTAGTCCCTGCTCCGTCAGTAGGGAATGGTAAAAAGGGGATTTGACCGCCTTCCCATCGCCCCTGTTGCCATACCCTACCAATCGTGGCTGACGTAGGCGTAACCAGGGGTATTTACACAGATGGGATGGCCCGCCAGAGGGGCAGTTGAGGCGGAGGCGACGAGAATGCGGGACGAGCCCGGCCTTGGCCGAGGTGGAGAAGGAACGACGCGTCCGAGGCCCTGCCGGGGTGTCTCGGACGAGGCTGAGAACGAGCTGCCGGGCTCTCCTGCTGTTTCCGAGACTACAGGGACATTGACTCAACCTTCCATGCCGCTTTGTCCTTGGCGCAGGGGTTAGGTAGCAAAGGTCAGTATGGGTGTTAGTAGGGAGCACAGTGGTGAGCACAGTGGCAGGTAACCCCTGCCACGCCCGGTCCCTGTCCCATCGGTTGTCCTGCTCGTACTGTTCCCGCGTGCGGCTGACGTTTGTGAGAGTGGTTGGGCGCATTAATCCGGTCGTGACGTTTTGTCAGAGGAGTTCGGTCGGGACGGAGGTTACGAGTATGTCCGCCGAGCCCGGCCTCGAACGAATCGGAGAATTCGCATCCCGCCCGAGGCCTTTCGGGGCGAGGCCTTGGCGAGAGGGTCTCGGCGAGAGGGCCTCGGCGGGGCGGGAAGCTTTGGGCCTTTCGCCTGAGGCCTCGGCGCAAGGCCTCGGGCGAATCGGTGAACCGGCTGAGACCTCGCGGTAGTCTTTTGGCTCTGATTTTTGCAAGGTTTAAGCGATATTCTTGGTTCTTGCTTAGGGTACCCCTTCTTGTGGTATCCGACACAAATAATTTAAAGTTTAACTAAATTTATATAAAAAGTAATAACATTTATGAGATACCCATCAAAGTCCAACCCATACTTCTGCATGGGGTACAATATGAGATACAAGTATTAGATGTTCATATTCAGTATACACAAACTAATTATAATTACTTATCTTTGTGTTTTCTTTCTCTCTATTTATTCATTTTTCTAGTGTAACTTGTTGAGTTATGATAAACTTATCTATATATACACATGTAATGATATATATAAATATAAATGATATTTTTCATTAGTGCCTATAGCTTTTTTTCTCATTACTTGGCACATTGGTCCATAAATTTGCATCTATATTACCCACCTTGCCTCCCTAAATTTGCACGTAAATTATCTATCTCTGCTATTATGAAACATAATACTAATTAATCCTAAATTTGCTTTTTAATTACCCACCATACCAATATAAAAGATAATGATATTGTAATATCTTTATTTTGTATCTAAGCTTGCAAAATATTCCATCATAAAAAATAAATTAAATATCCCTCCAATGCATATATAAATACAATATAAGATATAAAAGAAAATAAATTCAATAATAATAAAACATGCTATATATATATTTAATTACATACTTATACCATAGTAAATTAAAAATAAACATAAATGTTATCTGCTACCGTACAAACCAAGTAAACATGCATATATTGGGATAAATGCAATCATGAAAAATGTTTCATTAACAATCCACATACTAATATACTAACAATTCACTTTAAATCATATTAATACTCCATGACAATAAATTTTGTGTGTTGTCATTTTAGATAAGTTTATACATTTTGATTAAAAAATATGACATCAACATTGGAATTAATTTTAATCTCTTTATGTTTTTTATAAAAGAAAACTACTACACATATAATTCTTTGATGTAGAAAATAAAACATCTTAAGTGCCACCCTGTAGCATGAAACAAATGGTCATGGCACCGTGGTACCTAAGAATGTAGTTAGGACCTAGAATATATTTTTAGTCAAGCACAAAAGAATTTTTTTGAATAAAAGGTACGACAAGCACCAGAGGTTTAACTTAACACGAGGATACAAAAGACTTAACAACTAATAATATCAAAAGTTAAAAGCCAAAATATATATTCATGATGTCATAGAATTTGATACAATAGTAAATATGGATGGAAATGGACTAGGTCAACCCACTAGGTAGTTGACCCGACACACAAAAATAAGGTCAATGGGCCATATGGGGCCAAACACAAAACCTCAAATGGACACATGAACCCGGAACCTATTGACCTAATGGGTAAGATGGGTCAACCCAATCGTCACATAACAACTCTTTTTAATTTGTTGTTTTCTTCATTTTTCTCAATAAGCACGGTTGGCCATAACCTCATAACTTGGAAGCATCTCTATTCTTGGAAGTAGATCGAGGAATATCATATTTTGAAAGTAAAATAGTTAAACTTAAAATTATGGTTCACTTGCAAACTTATTTAATTTGATGTATCGCTAATAACCATAATATGTCATCATGATACTTTTTATTCATGTATCTCATCTTTTTTAGAAGTGTCAATTTTATTCATGGCCATGATAGCACAAAAAAATATTTAGGACGATTCATACTATCCAATGGGTTAGGGAGACCTTAGCATTTTAGGTGAAATATATCAACCCCAC